ATTAATTGAGGGCTGCATGGTTAAAAGAGGAGGGGCTGGCCGAGGGGGGCTTATTTATTTTTTATTTTTGTATCCAAATGAGGGGGGGGGGTTATTGGAGAGGGGCTTGAAGAGAAGGGAGCTAAATATAGAAATTACAGTACCTCCATTCCTTCCTCTCCCTTCCCAAACATGCTGCAGGAGAGGGCAACTGCATGGGTTAAAGCATGGATTGCAAGGTTGATATATTGCATGTTATGTACCTGGTAATATCAACTAGTATGGAGAAATGAGCTAGTAAATATATCCTTTCCTATAATTAGTTGCTGATTAAATGTCCAAAGATACACAGTGTGAAGCATGAAAAGCAAATGGAAGATACCCACTGCAAGAATTTTTCAACAAATATATATATGGATTTGTTCACTTCATTTCTTACTTTTGACACAAGTAATTATAGTATAAATTATAATTACAAACACAATGTACTGTCATTTAAAGACTTTATATGTGGTCCATGTATATATGTTAATGTAATATAATATAAAAAAAAATGTGTTTATTGTTAAAATATGTGATATATAATACCGTAAACCTCTGACTATAAGCCCTGGGCTTATATTCTTTTGAAGCGATTTTTCATGGGCTTGGGGGGGGGGCTTATATGCATGGAGGCCTTATACATGGACAATCAATTGTGTTAGTAATAAACAAGTCAGTCACTCATAAACAGGAAAATAAACATGTATTAATAACACACTTCCATTATAAACATAGTAAGCTATAAAGACAATGACAGTGTTTCAAATATCATTCTCTGCTATATTTAAAGACAATGTCAATGTTAAATAACATAGTAGGATACCGGGCTTATATTCAGGGGGCTAATATTCAGGGGACTTATATTCAGGGGGGGCTTATATTTGGAGGGGGGGGCTTATATTTGGAATGAGGTGAGCATTATATTCAGAGGTTTACAGTATACAGTTGAAAAAAGCTCATGCATTTTCTTGTCATAGACACATATTTCTGGGTGCATATAGAACAGCTTAAACGTCAGGTTCTCATGTCGATCCAATGGTAATTTGATATCGCTGCCATCACCATAATATAGTGTAGCACAGAATGGCCTTGTATGTATCATACTTTGACATACTATCATGCATGCAGAAATGCCTTGGTCATTCATGTGGAGATATTACTATCACGATAGAATTAGTTACGCCAAGTAACATGTCGCACACGTCAGGTAGCAGCTGAAATACTTTAATATTTGCCATAATATGTCCATAACCTGTTGGCAAAACAACCAAAACATCTTCATCCTTTTACAATGGGTCAATGGCCGAGATACATTTGAATGTCTCGTCTTTTAACGAATATTCAAGCCCTCTTCGCTAGAACAGCTTTCATAGCTCTTTTAGTATTTGCCATTGAATATAATTTAATAGTAGTACGATTTAAAGCACCTTTAAACGTATAAAAAAACCATTTTGTACACTATATTCTGATGAGAATCTTTGTTTAAAACAATATCGATTGTGAGCGTGTGCCCGCGCGAAGTTAGTAAGCGGAATAAACAAAAGCAATAAAAGCGCATGCGCCATTTATCTCATTTTGGATAAAAAAAATTCGATTTCCCCAGAGTCATGCCACAACCTAACCCGCGAACAGGCATACTCTGGGAACGAGATTGATATAATCCCTCAACAGCTCATCGGTTTGTATGTTAGCGCTATTAAAATAGGCCGTTGGATGAGGGTCGAAAATGTTCAATTCCGTAGCACCCCTCGTGTAACTACATAATTTTTGCATGAATGGATAGATTAGAACTTACTTAGTAAGAATCCACTTCCCCCCAAGCGAAATAGTTGCACAAATTGAAGTACAACCTCGCCAAAGTACATGTTTCTTCGAATTTTCAAATCCGTGAACCGCCATTGTTGTGTTGCAAATACGCATGCGCTTGACCACAAAACACTTAATGCGCACGCGCAGATTAGAAAACTGATCTCAATCTAGGACTGGACAAACCTGGACAAGAAAAAAATTATAAAATGTGCAAAAGCAGAGCTGAAATAAAACAAGATGACATCGAAGTGTTTTAAAAATATATGATATATTTATGGTCTGTGCATTTGAATGGAGTTCGCCAAACATTCCGAGGCCAGGAACACTTCCATTATTCTATGACACTTCCAAGCCAACATTACAATAATAACTTATTTTAAAAAAAATATGATTGATTTTTATACTACAACAATTACATAACGTTCGCAAGCAAATCTGTTTTTCAGGCTTTAAATATTATCACAATCCTAAACATTCAGGACCGTACACAGCGGGGAGACAGGGGGGGGGGGCAATTGCCCCCTTGAGAAAACTATATTTACGATTTTTGGAATATCATTAATTATTCTTCGGATATTTGCGACTTTTTTCGGCATATAGACCTTAGTGCCCCCTGGTGAAAAAATCCTGCGTACGGCCCTGTAAACATTCTAGAACACTGATACCGTAATTTATCTCGTTTTGGGGGGGGGGGGG